AATTATTATTTTAGAGGGGTTATTAATTTATCGATAAATAAATAATTTATTAATTTATCGATAAATGAATATTTATTAATTTATAGAGCATTTTATATTTTTATAATTTTTATTATATTTTACCACAATACATGTAAAAAAAATGCGGTGAAATTCAAAATTTAATCTGTAAGCATACACTTACATTACAGAGGATACATTAATGTACGTGCATTGTCTTCAAAGTTTAATGCATTGGAAGATTAATCAGTCAAATTATTTCACGTACACGTGAAACATAATTTCTACCGTCATTAGTCTTAATTTAAGACCCTCAATCATTTCAAATTTCATATATACATTTTTCTACCATGGCATCTCATTTGAAAGAAGTTAAAAATTTTAGATTAACTGGTGAGATGAGAAGAGCGTCGTGTCAATATAAAAATGAACATGCCTCTTCTAGTCAAAAAGATATGCAACTGTGTGTTCAAGAAAAAAATCATTTCACCATTAGCCAATCAACAATATTTAATACTCTCAAGAGGTTAGCAAAATATTTGACACTTGAAATAAAAAATAGCAATGTTAAGATGTACAAATCAGCAAAATATCGCGAGTTAGAAAATGTATTGTACGAGAGATTTCTCATGACCGGAGAAATGATCCAAACGTAAGCAGAAGTGTTTTTGCTCAAAAGGTATGGCGAAATCAATTCAGAATTTAATTTCTCAAGTGGTTGGCTAGAAAGGTTCAAATCAAGAAACGGAATTAAGTCTTACGACACTTTGGTGAAAGTGGTTCAGCTGCAATGTAGAATATCAAAGATTCAAAAATGATTTACTGGGAATACAAGCTAAACTAGACCAATTCCAATGGAATATTTATATCCATAATATGGATGAAATAGGGTTATTTTATAATTTAGAAGCAGATTAGTCACTTGCTATGAATGGTATAAAGGTACTGCTTATTGTGGATAATTGCCCAGCACATCCAAGGGTGATAAAAGGCTTGAGAAATGTTGAAACTATTTTTCTTGCCACCTAACATAACATCAAATGTTCAACTATGTGATGTTGAAATTATTAGAACACAAAATTCATTATCGACATTGTTTTCATTCTAACATCTTAGAAGGCTACAAGCTAGGAGCAACAAATCCTTAAAAAAACAAATATATTGAA